AATTGGGTAGGATTTGACCTTGTGCAAGGGTTGAAAGGCAGAGAAGGGGCTTGTAGCGTGTGTGCTATGGCTATCTTCTGTCCCAGCCCCCATTAGAAACTTCAAAATCAGTCTCCCCACAAGGTCTGTACTGCTGAAAGGTGGAGGGGGATTGGGAGGAGCAGGATTATTAATCCGACCAGCTTCACTCACTGCAGGTATCTTCTCTGTATACTTTCACATGACCTTGAGCTATGTGGGGCAGCTGCTGGATGAGCTCTCCATCCTTTGGACGCTGGCTATAACCTACACCTTTTGGTTGCCAAAGAATCGCTTCCCAAAATTTATCAAGAACAGGTGAGAAAGGTGCAGATACTATGTACCCTGCAGGCTCCAGCGGCTGCCTTGTCAAACATAACATCTCAGCTTTCCCTTGTGCGGGTCCATCAAATCCCCCATTCAGCAGCTGACCTTGCTGAGAGGGGACACACTACAGAAGTGGTTCTCAACCTTAGACTCAAGGCACCTCTCCATAACTGTTGTGGATTTAGGGGCACCCTCTGCTGATACAGGCAGGAGCCCCTCCTTTTCCTTGCACATAAGGGAGACATACCCTCTGCCTTTGCCTCAATGCATCAAGCCCAGGGGACACCCCTTGCCTGCCAGGTAGGGACAACACTTATTATATCCTGTCCACAGTGGTGTTGCTGGTCTGCTACTGGTCTGCCTGAGAGCCCAACAGGCTCCTGACAGCCGCTCCTATCAGGCCAGGCTGCAGCAGGGTACCCCCTCCTCCATCAGCCACTTCTTGGTCTGGCCCCACGTGGCATTTTCCAGAAACAGAGATGCAGCAGGGCAGCTGTACTTGGCAACAGCAGCATAACATCCTTAAAAGGATCTTACAGCCTCCCCGGTTGAGAATCATTGTCTTCCAGGTTACTGCAGCACATGCTGGAACCACTGTTCGCTGGCAGCAGCTTGGTCAGTGCAACCGTGAAGGATACTCCTAGCAAAGCTTGCAGGAGTTGTGCTAAACTCGAGTCAGCTGGAGCGGGTACAACCAGGACATGGGCAATCAGGGCTTAACCCCAGAAGGTCACAACTCAGGGGATCAGGAACAGGCAAGGTCAGAAAGCAGGGGTCCCACCTAGAGTCTGGATGCCAAGGTCTGCAAGAGACCAAAATATAGGCAGTCCTCCTGGGCACAGCCACAGAAGAGGACGGGGATCCAGGCTGAAATTGCTAGCCAGTAACTGTAAGGGACTGGAGCACAGGCGATAGAAACAGGTAGCCAGTACCACACCCATGCAAGCAATGGGTCAGCTGGAAGTAGTTTGGCCACTGGCAACCAGGCTCATTTGGGTAACCAGGGCAGTTTAACCTGCCTGCTGCACTGACTCCTAACAGCTGCCTTTGCAAAGCTAGCAGGAAGCCAAACACGACTTCTCTCAAATGCATCCATTCGGCCCTTGCGAGCAGCATGGCCAAGTAGATGCGACGCGGGTTTGCCAAGTCACTTCTCAGTGGGGCCGGAGGTCTTGCTTGTTTATGAGGCTTAGGAAGGGCAAAAAAGTTATCAGCACTAGGCAGTAGCACAAAAGAGTCTGGCAAGTGTGATCCGATTCCCAGCCCGGAGATATTCCGGGATATTTTGAGGGAGGGAGGCATGGGGATGACGGTGATGTGTCTGTTCTGTCACAAGCGGTGGGGGTGCAGTAACAGGTAGGGGAAGCTCTCACCTAGACCTGCTAGCCTAGGCTAACAGTTGCAGTGAAAACCTCCCCTTGGAGTCAGCTATTCCCATGCAAAAAAGGAGGTCACTGGGAGTTCACTGCAGGAACAGGGCTGGAGGAGGAAGGAGAAGGGGGAACTTGGAAGGGATTTGCATGTGAATGCCCCATGTGGGAGCCCTATTGTTGTTCAGCAACTCAAACTCTAAAGGGGTTTGCAGGAAAAAATGTGACTGGTGCTAGCGAGAGGAATTCCAGTCCCTGGCCTCAGTCCTGCAGTCTTTACTCCTGCAACATTTACCTCCGTCCTGCCCGCCTAGCTTACTGCCCACCAATGTGACAAAGGAGATGGGTCATGCTGACCACATCTTGCCCTTGTTCCAGCTTGCTTTTCCTTTGGGAATCCTGCAGGCATGACATAACATTGCCTTCAAATGAGGCTTTTGGCAAACAAGCCAGGCTTTGGGAGAGACTTCCTGCGGAGGACAGGTATCCCGGGAAGATTCCTGTCCCTGTTTCCCTGCCTTTCACAGTCTAGCTGCTGCTCGGTCACTCATGCTCTCAGCCAGGTGCAACTCTGACGCTTTTCCTGCTGGACTTTGGGCTCCAGGCTGGGACACTGCGAGGCCCTGAAAGGCAGGAGCTGGGTACCAAGTTAGTGCGGTGACCCCCTTGCTCGCATCTCAGCTACAGGATGAAATGTGCCCACCTCCTGTGTGATGCTCACCCATCTCTGTTTGCCCTTTCCCACTAGGACTCAGTTTAGATGGCTGGTTACCATCACCACCGCCATCATCACCCTGCTATCGTTCATCAAGCCATCCGTCAATGCTTATCTGCTGAACAGCTTTGCCTTTCACCTGCTGTACATGATATGGAGTTTTCTGAGGAAGTAAGGAGTGGTTTCCTCTGCTGGGAAGTCTGTTTGCACTTCATCCCATGCTCATGGCTGGAGGGAAGAGTGCAGGGGCAGGGAGGCACTCCCATGAACACGCTCACACATGCCCACTGGGACTTGGGAGACTTGAGTTCAGTTTTCTAATGCACCACCTACTTCTTATGTGACTTTGAGAGACCTGCTGGTCTCTCTGGTCCAAATCTTCAAAGACAATTTGGTGAACTCCCATTACAATCAGGGTGAGTTATGACAGGTTAGTCTAAGTGGCTTCTTTTAAGCTTTACTTTACACCTTGAAGCAGCTTTGGTTACACCCTTCAACTGAGCTGGTCACTGAGGGCATTTGTACACATGGATGTGTATGCGCCGCAGCGCCGGGCACTTTGAAAAGCGCCCGGCACTGCGGCACACATTTGTATAAATGGTGAAACGTGCAACAGAGCTGCAAAAATGGCATTCAAAGGTGTTTTAGTTCAAACATCAAAGGTGCTTTAGTTCAAAAGCCATATTCTGCACACTGCTGCACATTTAACCAGTTATACAAATGCATGCGATGCAGCACCGGGCACATCAGCTTGCATGCTCCGCAGACTCGATTAATCGAGTCTGCTCCGATGCGCTGGATTTTTGGTGCGTCGGTGCCGATAAAGGTACGTGTATAAATGCCCTTAGGCCTCAATTCAGATGTTACATTAGGACTCCAGTCCCGCCAAGCATTTAAGCATGTGTTTCAGCACCTCACTAGCCAGGAAGGTAGTTGAGCATATACATAAGCAGATCAGCAATAAGGTTGGGTTGCTGGGCTGAACGGAGGCCCAAACGATAAGTTAAGGTTGGGTCCACCTTAGACGAGATCTGTGACTAAATAAGCTTCCTGGCATGGTGTGCAGGTGACAAGGAGCTGTCAAAGAGTCGACGCTTAGCTGCGTGGCCAGCCGAGGAGAGAGCTCGAACACAGAGACTGACATTTTGGGTTGCCAGCCTATCTCAGAGTGGCATGGTAAAGGCTGAAAGTTAGGAGCCGAAATCAGCTCAAGGTGATTTGGTGCCCGACTCCCTTTGGCTCTTTTGAAAATCCCACCTAAATGTCTTTCTTTTCGAAGGGTGACTCCACAGGTGTCCGCAGCACTGAACGCACTCCCACTTGCAGGAGTAGTTATAGTGCCAGAACCACAGGGAAAGCGGGGCTAGCCCCCTCCAAGGGCACGGGCGCACGTCTTGCTCTGACATGGCGAGCTAGAATTGATGACTGTTTTTTAAAAAGCATGCTCTACCAAAATTCAAACTCTTCTAACTCCACGATCCAACCTCTACCCCCCCTCCTCCCAAACTGCCTTCCAGGTGCAAGGACGGCCGTGTCCACCGGCTAGCTGCTGCCATGGTTGTGTGGTGGGCATTAGCCATTGGCTGCTGGATAACCGACAAGTGGTTCTGCGGGTTTTGTCAGAGGATCAATTTTTGTTATTTTCACAGCTTCTGGTAAGAACAGTCATTTCCTCTCACTTTGACAGAGGAGCTAAATCACTGTGGGGTGTTGCATCCTAACCAGGACATCCGTCCACCTGGTTTCAGGCCATAGCCCGAGGGCTCAGGAATCATTTGGGGGCTGGGGTTCAACAACAAGGCAATGTTAGGTTCATAGCTGATAACGACAGTTGAATTTTTTCTGAAGGGAACATCGTCCCCTGCAAAAATGCCGATGTGATAAAACGGACACGTTCCAAGAAAATGTGCTGATTCCACCGAGACTTGTTGGAAACCAGACAGCCTTGACCATTGGCTTCCCAGCCTGAGCATCTTGCTATAAAGCTGGGCAGCTGGGACCTGGTTTGCTAGCCTAGATTTTTTTTAAATCTATTATAGATGTTCATAGATGTTTAGGGTCAGAAGGGACCTTAGTAGATCGAGTCCGACTCCCTGCCCTGGGCATTATGTTTCTTTCAGACTGGGGCTTTGTTCAGTTTTTGTTTTTAAATTTCCATTCCACAGAAAACTTTGCATTTTTGATTTTTCATTCCTATTCACAATTCTTTGGAAATGATTTTTTTTTTAACACAAAGCAAATTCTGGTTTCCACCCATCTCTGTTTGTTTGACAATTTCTGCATTGAGCCTACACCCTGAAGTCCTTACTCAGCTCTTGCTGGGCACGTCTACATGAGACGCTAAATGCACAGTAGACTAATTCTACTGTGCATTAGCACAGCAGGCATAAAGCATACTAATGTGCAGCAGAATTAGTCTACTGCACATTAGCATCACAAAGCGTGCGCTGGTGCTACTGTGCAGTAACACCCATTACGACGCAGTAAATTAGTACTGTTATTACAGGTACTAAACGCACCGTAACTACGGCACATTAATGAACATAGACACGGCCACTCAGTCCTTAAATATGAAAAATGCAGCGCACACTCTGCACTTCTCAAGATCTGGCCTTCATAACGGACTAAACACTGCTTAGCTCCTTGGGACCAGCCAAGGACTTTCTCCTTATTTCTTCACCATCAAAAAATACAGCAATTCTTCTGTCGCAAAGAACTCAGACCCCAACTGATCACAATGTTTCTGACACTATGAATTCCTATTTGAAATCTCTGCATTTTTCTTGTGAATCATGTATGGGTGTTTGTTTGCACACCTAACAGTGCTAATATTTGTGCAGTACCCTGTGGCACCCTAAAAAGGATCTTATAGCCCGATCCCTGGTTGAGGATCACTGCTATAGCCTCATTTCCCAGTGGAATATATCTTCTCCTGGTTATATATATATATATATATAACCAGGGGAAGATATATATATGTATATATATATATATATATAACCAGGAGAAGATATATATCTACAGCTGTCTTCTCCTGGTTATATATATAACCCAGAGAAGGTATTAGGCCAGATCCTCAGGTGTTATGCATTGGGCAAAGTCATTTTTGGAGCTATACAGATTTATATGTGCTGGGAATCTGGCCTGCTGTATCTGGACCTCATAAAAATCCCACACCGTACTGTGCTGGCAATAAATTTGCAGCTAGAATATTTTTCACCTTCATGAGGATAGGGCCTGTGTCATTGCAGAGAACAGTGTGCACCGGCTGTGATGTCCCGTGCTTCTTACACGTGCATTCTTTGTTTCTTTGCTAGGCATATACTGATCGCCATCAGCCTTCTGTACTGCTGCCCCTTGATTATCTACTTTTATGTCTTATATGAGATGCCTTCCTTTCAACCCCAGATACAGTACTGGCCTTGCGACTCCTGGGTAGTTGCCTTGCCCTATCTTGTCCTAAGGAAGACTCACAAACAGTGTTAGAGACCAATTCTAAGATTCAGCTGCTCAGGGGCCATGTGTCTGAGCACAGATATTGTCTGCTAATCCTTAAGTGGTGGTTTTGGTTTTCTGAATGGCTGTTTGGATACCACCAGCAGCATAACTAGGGCAGGGCAACCAGGGCAGCCACCCTGGTTACTAACTTGGGGGGTGGGAGGGTGGGGTGAAACTCTGCCACTGCAATGGTAACGGACAGCAACTGGAAATCGCTGCTGCCCCTGTGTGTCACAGCTGCCCCGGATGCTCGGCTGCATTGTTATCCAGGTTGTAGCTGTATTGGTCTAGAGGAAAAGGCAATCAGGACTCACAGTAGAGATGATATCTTTTATTAGACCAGCATTATTGCTCTAATTATTATTATTAATTATTATTGGTTTAATAAAAGGTATCATCTCTACTGTGAGTCCTGATTGTTATGCCTCTGGTTGCCACCCTGGTGATTGGGATAGAAGTGTTGATAGCTTGCTCTTGCATGGTGTGAGAGCTGTGTGAGAGCTCACGAACTGCCAGAAGTACCACAACCCGGTGTCTTCCGTTACACAGCTCCCCGGGGAGCGGGGAGAGGCTGCCTCTTTTGCACCTGGGTGTATTTCATGATCCTTGCTGGAAGGATCACAGCTGATAACAAACCAGAGAGATGGCATCTGGCTTTAGGACTGCTATTATTATTGTCGTTGTTATTTATTGATGCCTGCGGTATGTTTTGCGGGTGTGTATTAAAGCTATGGACACTGACTTTGGCTGGAACACATCTCTCTAGCCTCACTTCATACATTTGTCTGCCACTCACTCAAAGATGGCCACCAAAGCTCCTGTCTGTCCTTGGATCCTTTGAGGGCTATTTTTAAAGGCACGGGTTATGGCTGGTCACTTGTTTGGATGCATAAAAGGGGAGAAAAGCTAAGGAGCAATCTCTCCCTTGCAGCCCCTGTGTAAGCACTAGATGCACCTGCCGCACCAGCAGCTCTCCTGAGCAGCAGGACTCACTGCTCGCTTCCAGTGGTACCTGCAGCTCTGGGGAAGAGCCGATTCTTCTAGAGAGAGCTGGCCAAGAGCACATGCAAGGGGAGACTTGCAGTACTCCTCAAACGTGTTCTCTTGGCATGCCAAGTTTCTGCGGGAAGCATGCAGATGCCATCTCTTGCATTCCCCTTGGGGTGATGTGCGGGAATATGGCACACCAACAACAGCCATAAAGTGCTCTGCAGAATGACAAGGTATGCACAGGGAGACAAAATGCTCTTCCCTGACTGCAGAAATGCAGCCATCTCTAAGGGTAGGGTGCTATGGTAGTGCTGCCCAGTAGTTAGGACCAGAAGGAAAGACACTGAGTCCAGTCAACGCAGCAAGAGGAATTTTAAAAGCAGATGCTCGATAACCAAACCTGACATGCTGCCTGGATATTGAGCAATGGAGATGGGTTTGAATGCTCTCAAATGTGTGGCTGAACTGCAGTTTCATCTTGCAGTGTGAACAAAACCACCGATTCCAGCTTTGAATGAATCCCTGCACCTCTCTGTGTCCCAGTTTCTGTCTCTCTAATGGTGATATTGTAAAATTACCAGCCTGCGCCCCCAGCTCCAGGTTAATCAATGTGTGTAAAATGCTGCTGCATAAGCAGTTAGGATGCTAATCATACTCCAGGTTCTTGGAAAGTCAGATTCACAAACCAACCTGTGTTTGATCTAATGAAGAAAAGCATTATAGAAGAGAGAAGTGGTATAATTATTGTCCCATGTCTGGGAAGCCTGAGTGATGATCATTGTCCTCTTCTCTATTGCCCGGTCTGCCACGTGGAAATGTTTAGCAGTTGCCAAACTCACTTGCACCCCTTGGACCAAGGGTGGATCAAACACAACCAGCTAATGCTGTTTTGAATATGAGCTATTTCCTAGTGCAGCCAGCAACTTTATTAGATTTTAGGCATCAGCATTTTAAGCTACACAATCCATCTCCTTTTGCTCCCTACCCTTTACCGTGCACAAAGCAATTGTCCTCTCTGACACAAGGTCTATCCCCCTCCCCATACTCCTCTCTGGCACAAGGTTGTCCCTCTCCAACCCTTTTCTGACACAAGGTCTTCCCACTCTGCAGCCTACCGTAGCCCACATCCAAGTGAAAGCCAAGGCACTGGCAGCCCCAGTGGCATCATAAGCAAGCCTTGCCACTGTGGCCAGATCCCTAGGTCTAGCCAGGGTGGTGGGGCTTCCTGTGGCAGCAGTCAGAGCTCACCCTTGCTTGCACACCCTTGCACAGCTTGAGTGGAGGTGCAAGCAGTTCCAGCAGCACCATGGTCAAAAGCTCCATCACTAAGTCCAGAGCTTGCTGAGCCAAGTCTTTTGTCCTGGCTGCAGTGGCAGGGTTTGTGCCCACACTTCTGCTCGACGCTGCTTTCCCAGGGATGCTGGCTGCTGCTGCAGGAAGCCCCCCCACCGCAGCCAGAGCTGAGGAAAAGTCCATGGGCCAAAGGCCCCTGTCAGCAAGCTGGATCTGGCCCATGAGCCATAGGTTTGACACCTTGATCTAGGGCAAGGACTCCACCCCATCTCTGAAAGGAACCTCATGCACATCCACTGAGCCTTATGCCCATCTCTGTGAGAGTCTGTATCATTATCTCCAGTTTGCAAATGAGGAAACCGAGGTGCTGAGTGAGAACAAGATGTGACAGCTGGCTTGCCTGGCACCTGGCCCATTGCTGTAACCCCCAAACCACCCACCCCGGCCACCTGAACAAGTACAAACACTCGCACCCATGCCTCTGTGGCTCTGCCCACCAGCTCCTAACTGGAAGGGAAGGGCCAGTCCTCCATGACTAGATTTCGTAGAGGGACAAGGTCATGTTTCTTCCCTGCCAGCCCTTCCTGAGGCAAGGAGCAGCCTGGCTTTGCTGGGCCACTCGAGGCCGTGTGTGTTATGGCAGGATTCTCCCTCCAGTATGACAACATGCCGGTGTGGCAGAGAGGCAGTGCAGAAACAGCAGGACCCTCCGCGGCTCACTTGTCCGCCCGTATGCAGCACCACTGGCGGGGTTACAAAGCAGCATGAGGAAGGGAAGGACAGCCGGGGTTGCTGACCAGTGCTGATAAGAAATGCAAGCGGAGTGAATACAAGAACCATGGAGGCAGGAGCACAAGAGAGAGCCACCTCTCCGTGCTCAGACAGCGCTAGCAGCAGAAGCAGAGGCTATGCTCGACCTAGGGATGCTCTGAATTCAGCCTTGTGAGCTGTCCAGGATCTGATTTTACACTTCTCTTGCCTCCCCCTGCACACTTCACTTTCCCCTCTCCTTCAGTTTGTTCACTGCCTATCCCTCTTTCTCACCATCCTCAATTGGCCCAGCTGGAAACTCCCTTACAGTCTCACACTGAGAGCCAGGACAGACTGGGGCGAACCTGCACTGACTGAGAAAAATTCTCTGCTCAGAGAAAGTGACTGCTGGGAGGGAAATAGGGATGTACGTTGTAGCCATGTTGGTCTAAGGACATAGGCAGACAAGGTTCGTTGGGTAAATCTGCTATCTTTTATTAGACCAACTCAAATAGATTAAAAAAATCTTCTTTGCAAGCTTTCAAGTATAAATACCCTTCGTCAGACTGAGGAAGCATCTGCAGTTGGTGTCTGCTCTTCCTGGATGGAAGGAATAGTAAAGAGACCCAAGGCTGGTATGCATCCAAGAAAGGCAGCCAGTCAGTGAAGATGTAAATTGAGGAGTCAGTGGGTGAGAGACAGGCCCGGGGGTGGCGGAATTCATGTAGCTGGTAAATAGTGGAGAGGTACCTGGGGAGTCAGATGCTGGGCAGGTTATAATGTGTCATAAATCCAGTGTCTATATTTAGTCCATGATTTTTTTGTGTCATGAAGGTTGATGAAGTGAAGTTCATAGGCTCATCTGTGAAAGGTGTTTTGTAAAATGGGAGGGAAGTAGGATGCTGAGCTGATATGCACTTGTAAAGCACTTTGGGATCCAGATAGAGAAGAGGCTGTCACCTGCATGAAGCATGTCCTGCTAGGCCACCACCACGGAGTAGTCCCTTCTGGGTTCCCAGCCAGCTATGATGACATTTGACCTTTCTGAGTCCATTGCCTTTCTAGGCTACAATGATACTGGTGATGAGGTTGCAGAAAGACATACCAGCTGCCAGAGTAGTTAGCCTCATGATCTCCTGCCTCAGTCCAGAGGTATTACCCAAGTACAGAAACACAGATACTGTGGGGCAGCTCATCCAGGCTAGGAGGACATGGTTTTTGACTCTGCTTCTCCATGGGCTGAAAACTGCTTGGGAAATTCATGTCCCTGCAAAAGCAGTTCAAGAGGCTGCTTAGGAGTGAGAAGTGACTGCTGCAGCTGCCTACTCTCTGCAGCATTATGTGCACTCAGGGCACATTTACACATGCATATTTACTGCACAGTAACTGAAATTACTGGGCAGTATGGGTGTGGGCCTACACGTGCATGCCCATACTGCACAGTAGATATGGTGACTTATGCTAGCTTGTGCATCAGTTTGATACCTGTATCATGCAGGTTTCAAATTTACACCCAATTAGTTACTGCACAGTAACACATGTGTAGACGTTTTACTGTGCAGTAACACTATGTGTGTGGACTGACTTGGGACTAACTTTAGTCCCAAGTCAGACCACACACAGCATTAATGTGCTTTAATACCTGCACATGTAGACGCAGGCCTATTCCCGCTGACTGTGCAGTAAGTTACTGCATAGTAAATTTAAGCCAGCGTAAATGCATGTGTAGACATGCCCCCAGAAAGGTAACTCTGACCTGGAAAAAGTTTGCACTTTCTTCATCTTTAGGCTCACACAACTGAAGCAACAGCACAAACACTGTTGCTGCCAGGGTGAGATGGGGCATCTGTGTGTACCCTACCAAGTCACTGAAGTATGCCTTGAAGAGGGTTAGGTAACAGGGCTGGAAAAACACCAGTGCCCTGGCACTGCTCATGCTCCCACATCAATGATGGTATTGGTGCTAGAGCAAGCAGCTGGACGTGCAAGGAGATCACCGATGAATGCCAGGTCAGGCCCTGCTGTTCGCCTCCACAACACAATGCTCCACTGTCACTAGATGGCAGCACTGCCTATAAAATCAGGGACAGA